AATCACTTCTCAAGGCCTTGGGTTTTCTGCCTCCACTTTGAAAGTCATTTGAATGGTCTAAGCAAAGCTTCCCAGTGATGTTCTGGGAGGAGTGGATCTTGCATGGGTAACAAGTGAGCAGAGGTATTGCTTCTCTCAGCCTTCAGTGGGATAAGGGCTTGAGGCTGTTGGAGCCTGTGGGTGGGCTTAATAAACGCTGCCAGTTCCTCTGTGTGCCTTGACATGAAGGAGGTCAGTGTGGTAGATCAGTTGCATCCCTGGCCCCAGTCCTTCACCTCGCTCTGTATCATTGCTCTTTGCCATATAACTCTGAGGGCCTCCCACTCTGGCTTTGGGCTCAGCCACCTGACTTTTTGGGTGTGTGGTATGTTAGCAAGTGAGACCAGACAGGGTCTTAGAAAGTGCTGGCATTTTCTGCCAGAAGAACATGCCTGAGCTAACCTGCTGAAGCGTGACAGCCCTGTGGAGCAGAGTCCCAGACAGGCCAGGCTACATCAGCTGATGGCCAGCCCAGCTCAGACACGCAAGCATGCCTGGACAAGCCCAGAAGAAGTGCCAGCTGATCTGCAGCGTGTGAGCCACATAAATGTAGGTACTGCACTGTGGGGTCATTTGCGACATTGCATTGTTGAGGTGGTAACTGATACTGTCTAGAAGCACTAAACACAGATACCAGGAACCCAGCTCACCTCATTCTCCCAGAGCCCACTGTTCTGGGGCACAAAGAGGGTGCTTCGGATTGACAGGTCAGTCAGGTGTTTCAGGAATGCCCGGCCTCTGGCTGAGCTGTTGGAATACGCCAGCACTTCCTGGGGATAGGGAGGAGGTGGTCAGAAGGGCCAGCGTGCTGTTCAGGGGCTGGCTGGAGAGGGTGGCATCACCCCTCTGGGTGATCACCCCAGCTCAGGCTGCCACTCACCTGCTCATCTTTCTGACTGCCCCTTGGGAAAATTTTAGGAGGATTTTTCCTTTCCTCGATAAATCCTATGGTCCTAAGACACAGCCAGATCACAGGCCATTCTCAACAAGGCAGCTTGTGTAGTCTTTGAAATCTTAAGTGAATTCCAGTCTTCTTTTGCCAAAAATTTGCAAGGCGCCCGCTTCACCCAGAGGAAAAGCCACAGTCCTTACAGCGCCCATGAGGCCCAGACCACCGGGACCCTTGCTCCTCTGACCCTGCACCCAGCTGTCCTCTTGCCCACCCTGCTCCAGCCACACTGGCCTCCTTGACATTCCTCAGGCTTGCTCAGCAACGTCCTGCCTTTCATCCTTTGCCTGGCTGTCCCTTCTGCCTGAAATGTTCTTCCTTGAAATCTGCATGGCTAACTTCCTCTCTTCTGTCCACACTTTGCTTACATCTTACCTTCCCACTAAGGCCTTCTCTCATCACTCTAGGCGACATGGGAACCCTGTGGGTCCCCTTCCCACCCCCATAGTCTGGATTGCCTTCTAGCATTCAATACTATTTTCTTTATTCTGTTTCTTGTCTGTTTTGTTCACTGATACATCTCAAGCACATTGTTAAGCACTCAACAAATATTCACTGAACAGATTTCAAGAAATCGCACTTCCCAGTTCAGCACTGTCATCGTGCAGAGAACCCTGCTGCCGCCCAGAGAAGCTGAGAATTTGCTGAAGGGCACACAGCCAGTGGGTTTTGTTCTACACACTCTTTTCTCTGAGATGCTGTCACAAGCCACACTCCCACACAGCACACACATTGGTTTGGGTGTTCATCTTTAGAATATTTACAGTAACCCTGAGTTTTTAGGCTAGTTAAGTGGATACCTTTGGTGTGTGGACAAAGACTCACTATTTTGGGGTCCTTGGTCTAGCTTCTGCCCTGTTCCTACAAGCCCGGTACTTATGCTCCGTCCCCTCTCCTTGGCTGTGTCCTTGACCTTGCTAAGCCTCAGTTTCCTTATCTGGAAAATGGGAATAATGGCAAAAGTGACTTCATAAGGTTGCATCAGGATTTATTCTGTCTAACAAGTACTACTGAGCACCTACTATATGCTAGCCACAAGACAGAGAAAATAATTTCCCTTATGTAGCTTATGTTTTGTGAAGCAAGTGAAAAGTAACCTGAAGGGCCTCAGAGAATGCCTAATGTGAAGAAAATGCACAGGAAATGTTAGCTATTGCTATTATTGCTGTTATTAATATCAAAGCTCAGTTCTTTGATAAGTTCAGTTCAGTTGCTCAGCTGTGTTTCACTCTTTGCAACCCCATGGACTGCAGCACACAGGCTTTCCTGTCCATCACCAACACCTGGAACTTGCATATACTCATGTGCATCGAGTCAGTGATGCCATCCAACTATCTCATCCTGTGTCATCCCCTTTTCCTCCTGCCTTCAATCTGTCCCAGCATCAGGATCTTTCCCAGTGAGTCAGTTCTTCATATCAAGTGGCCAAAGTATTGGAGTTTCAGCTTCAGCATCAGCCCTTCCAATGAATATTCAGGACTGATTTCTTTTAGGATTGACTGGTTTGAGCTCCTTGCAGTCCAAGAGACTCTCAAGAGTCTTCTCCAACACCACAATTCAAAAGCATCAATTCTTTGGCACTCAGCTTTCTTTATAGTCCAACTCTCACATCCATACATGNATGTAGCATGGCCAAAACTAAAATTTTTTTTTAAAAGAAAAAAGTGCAGTGAAAAATGCAAGTTGACTGTATATTGAGAATTTGGCCACTGGGTGATCACCAGGCAGACTTAACTGTGCCCCACCCTGTCCATGAAGACAAAAGAGCAATTTATTCCTACAGGGCAGACTCTGAAGCTGCTGTAGTCGCAGACAGATGGATGAGTTACCAGCTAACACTGGGATAGCATTTTCCATCTGCTGGCCCCAAGGCTAAGCACTTTACAAATATCAAGTCATTAATTTGTCACAATGACCCGATGAGATTGGGTCATCTCCATATTACAGATGAGAAAACTGAGGCCCAGGAGGGAAAGCAGCTCATTTAAGGTGATGCACAAGTGGCAAATCTAAGCGTCAGACTTGGGCAGTGCAGCTGTGTCCACACTCTCAACCCTGACTGTGAGCCTCCACCTTCTCTCAAGGACTAGACTCTCTCATATCTGCTTGGTCACCCCTCCACCCAAGGTGAAAGCAAACAGATATGGTACAGACCTTCAGGAAGTTTGTGAGCGAGGGGAAGGACATTAGGACCTGCAGCAGATTTCCACTGCACGAGAAGCCATCTCCCACGTAGCCCACCTTGCAGGTGCAGTTCACATCTGGAAGACAGAAACACACAGAGTCTCCCACTGGTGAGGCAGGCGTCTTGGCCATCCCATCTCATGCTGGGAGGTCTTCCGGCCCAGCTGAGGATGGCTTAGCAGCTGCGTGGCCTGGAATCTGAAGCGAGGTTGGGGCCATTACCTTTCATCCGGTAACAGAAGACATCCCACATCTCGCTCTTATTGTTTCTTGGCCCGTAGTCCACTATCCCGACGACCCCAGAGCCGCAGTTCTGGGAGGCATAGGAGGTGGGGTAGGCTACTCGCCCACTGTCTAGCCAACCTGCTGAGCAGAGGTGGTACTTGGCCTGTAGAGACAAAGATGTGGATGTTGGTCAGCTGTGATTTCATATCTGTTGTGGAATTTTGTGGCTAATGTCTGACTCCCCCATCAGACCGAAAACTCCATGGAGTCAGGAGTTATAGCTCATTTTGCCTATTGTACCCCTGTGCCTGGAACATAGTAGGTGTTCATTACATTTTTGTTGATTGAGCCACTGGATGGATGAAAGTGGTGCCTTCTCTTCCCTGTAAGTGCTCAAGTCCTTCATACTCATTCTTCTTCCCTCTGCTCTTGAGAAAGGATTTACAATTAGCTCATTACCCCTAGGTGCAAATTTCTCTGCTTATGGGTTGATGGAACTCCAATTGATCACCATCACTATCCTCACCATCATCCTCATCATGATCACCATCATTGCCAGCATCACCATCACCATCATCATAATATTTACTGAGAGCTTATTCTGGGCCAGGTCCTTTTGCAAGCACTTTTCATGTGTCAAAACCTTTATCACTTATATCAACCCTTTGAGATAGAACCTTAAAAAAAAGTCTCTATAATATAATTGAGAAAATAGAGGCAAAAGGGGTTAAGTAACTTGCTTCAAGTCATAGAACCAGCAAGCAGCAGAGCTGAGGTTCAAACCCAGGCATTCTACTCCAGAGCTCTTAATCTTAAAACCTGAGTTCCCATGTGAGTCAGTCACTTTATCTTATTACTTTGAAGTTGCACAGTTGTGTCCGACTCTTTGCAACCTCTTCCCTTCTCCCTGGGATCGTCCCAACCCAGGGATCAAACCCAGGTCTCCCACATTGCAGGCGGATTCTTTACCAGCTGAGCCACCAGGGAAGCCGTTGTGTGGCTTATTACCTTTAGTCCTTTACAAACATGCCAGGTGGGACAGGGGTTTCAATGCCTTGATTGAGGTCACACAATGAACAAGCAGGCATGTGTACGCATGCTCAGTTGCTCAGTAGTGTCTGACTCTTTGCAACCCCATAGACTATAGCCCGCCAGGCTCCTCTCTCCATGGGATTATCCCAGCAAGAATACTGGAGCAGGTTGCCATTTCCTCCTCCAGGGGATCTTCCTAACCCAGGGATTGAACCCAAGTCCCCTGCAGCTCCTGCACTGGCAGGAGGATTCTTACTGCTGAGCCACCCAGGAAGGTCGAGCAAGAAGGAGGAATAAGAAATTCCGACCCTCCAAGATGCTGGGTCCTGGCATCAAGGGCTTTGCTCCTTGTAAAGAAACATCAGATCTGAAGATCTGGTCATGTTGGAGGTTGGAGGAAGGGCACTAAAATCATGAGGATGGGCAGTGACCTTGTGAGCACTCACTAGCAGCCTATTCCGAGTTGCTGACCTTTCCAAATGGGCTGGGCTTCTGATGTTAGAGGCCAAGAGAGTTACCCTGGCCAGAGCTGCATCTCCTACCTGGCTGACGGCTGGGGCAATTTCTCTGTACCCCTTCGCAATGCCCCCAGGTGTAGAGAACCTGGGCTATTCCAGAGACACTTGGCTGCCTCTGGGCTCAGGGACCCCGGGCTTGTGGGCAACTGAGCTCTTGGTTTCCAGCTGTGCAGTGCCCACGTCGGTGCCTCTGCCCTGGTGGATGGATGTCATGATCGAGAGCAGACTTGTGGAGTTGGGGTACACTGAATCCTGGGTCTGCCACTTCGTGGCTGGGTGACGCTGGGCACGTTAGCTTTCCGAACCTCAGCTGCCCTATCTTATGGCAGTAGGAACACCTACCTCCAGGGATGCTGTAAGAATGGACGATGTCAGTGAAGCGCCCACTCTGTGCTGACATGTGACAGACCCCCAGTGGACATGCTCAGGAGTTCCCCGAATCCCCCGCTCCGGGAAGGCAACAGCCGAAGTCTCCCCTGTGTTAAGAGGAAGTGCCACGTACACCTAGAAGACCCTGCCTGCATGGTGCCCACGGACTGGAAACCCACCTTCTGGGCATAGGAGAGCTGGTTGTAGGTTGCCATGGTTGCAGCTTCCTGGGCACAGGCCTCTCTGGCTTTGTCATAGGTCAGCTTGTACTGGCCGAGTGGGGAGCGTAGATGGAACACTCCAACGGTGGTATCTAGAAGGGGGAGGAGAGGAACTGTTCAGCCCCACGCCTCAGCTGGCAGTGCTCCCAGCAGAGATTTTCAAAGCAGAGGGCTGGCCATATCCCAGGGTTTCTTGGGATGTCACTCTCCTTTGACATGTCATTTAAAATACTTATTTCTTTTCTAACTATGAAAGTAGCACGTGTTCAAGGTGGAAATCTGGGCCATACAGAAAAGAAAAGAAATAAAAATCACCTACCTTCCTGCTGTCTGGAAATAATCATTACTCCATGACTAACATTTTAATATACTTCTGTCCAGAATTTTTATTTTTATAACTTTTAATTTTGATGTAATTTCACACTTTCAGTCTTTTTTCCTATTCATTTGCGTGTCATATATATCACAAATATGGCAGTATGCTACATATATAGTTTTTAGAAGTCTTTCTTATAACATTAAATGAGGATTTTTTTCCTATATTATACATTTTCCCCGACAACATGATTTTACCTTGATACTTTTAGTTGAACACGTTTTGTGAACTTCACAGCCATGAAAAAAAATACATTAAAATGAATTTCTGCCAAGGAACACATGTATTTTCTGATTGCCATTATGCCTTTAAAAAAGTTTTCAAGCCATTTTCCCCTTAGATACTAGAAAATATTCATCACTTTTAAATATATATCTCCTTTAAACCAATTAAC